CAGTGTTGCTTAAGGAAGTCTAATATTACTCAACTAAAAGAAACTAACTTTCTAAAACCTCATAAGATAGAAATTTGTTCAAAAAGGAATTGAAAAAAAATCTGTGTGTTTTTATACATTGAATGAGATAATAGAAAATGAGCCTATAACTACAGAATTTCCTTATCTTGAAAAGCAAGCTTTTAAGACAACTTCAATGGCAATGTACTCAAAACCTTATTATTTTGTTTCCACATGATTTAGCATACCAGGTAGGCCATACTAAAAATAACCTCTCTTTTCTCTTCTTAAACGCTCTCTTCTCTTTCTAACCTGTACACATACTCAGGAACCTAAACTCTTAGACCCATAAAAAACTTACTGGGCAAAAGGTACAATTTGTGGGTTTTTTTGTTTTAAATCAGTTTAAAATGTTTTAAATTTGAGCACTACAATTTTCTTAACTTTGCAAATTGTACCTTAATATTGAAAACGCTCCAGCAAAACTCATAATCATCCAGAATTAATAAAATGCTTAAATTATACAATATTCTTTGCTACCTGTTTTTCAAATAAAGTTTAGGCGTTTCATCATGGAATACTTTTAAAGGAAGGAAGTTTTATTATGTTTAGCAGTCACCAGGCATGCTTTATTCATTTGCAATTAATACACTGTATAAAAATGTAATTGCAAAAGCAGATTAGAAGTGTTTGAAACTTGTAAAAACTGAGAGGACTAGGAAAAAGAAAAAAAAGGCATCTAAATTAGAAAGGAAGAAGTAAAACTATCTCTGTTCACAGATGATATGATCTTTGTGGGGGATCAGAATTGGCAACCTCAATATATGTCTCTTTGCCTTGATTATTTTCAAGAACAAAAGACTCTGAAGGAAACTTTAACCTCCCCCCCACTAACTGACTAAAAGAAATTTAAGATAGAAGGCCTGTCGCCAGGACAGGCCATCACCATAGATAACGCTGGGCATGGATAGACTGTGAGGGTCCTTGCTAAGCCCATTCTTATCAAAGTGCTGTTCACCAAACATTTGCATTTCCATCTCCATGTGAATTGCCTTCCTCCCCTCTGAAGTCCCAAACCACTACCCCCAACACCCTCCTTTGTCTTTAGCTGAAGATAGTATTCAAGATGAGAGTCTCTACCATTTTGGCAAGTTGTTCCGTTTTCCTGAGTCTCTCTCACGTATACATGTTATAAAGCTTTGTTTGATTTTCTCCAGTTATTCTGTCTCATGTAAATTTAATTTGCAGCTCAGCCAGAAGGACCCAGAAGGTAGAAGATTTGTCTTCCTCCCCTACAATCTTATATATAGAAAACCCCAAAGATTCCACAAAAAAACTGTTAGAACTAATAAATGAATTCAGCAAAGTAACCAGATACAAAATTAACATGCAAAAATCAGTTGTATTTCTATACACTAACAATGAATGATCCAAAAAGGAAATTAAGAAAACAATTTCACTTACAATAGAATCAAAAAGAATAAAATACCTAGAAATTAACTTAACCAAAGAGGTGAAAAACGTATACAGTGAAAACCACAAAACATTGCTGAAAAAAATCATTACAAAGACATAAATAAATGGAAACATATTCCATGTTCATGGATTGGAAGATAATATTGTTAACATAGCAATACTACCCAAAGTGATCTACAGATTCAGAACAATCCTTATGAAAATCTCAATGGCAATTTTTGTAGAAACAGAAAAACTCATCCTAAAATTCACATGGAATCTCAAGTGATCCCAAAAAGCCAAAACAATCTTCAAAAGGAACAAAGTTGGAGGACTCATACCTCCTGATTTCAAAACTTAGTACAAAGCTACAGTAATCAACAGTGTGGTACTAGCATTAAAATAGTCATATAGATCAGTGGAAGAAAACAGAGAGCCCAGAAATAAGCCCTCGTACATATGGTCAAATGATTTTTGACAAGGATGCCAAGACCATTCAATGAGGAAATGACAAGCCTTTTCAACAAAAGGAAAACAGGATATCCATGCAAAAGAAGGAAGTTGGACTCTTATCTAACACCGTATATAAAAATTAACTCCAGGCCGGCCTGGTGGCATAGTGGTTAAGTTCACATGCTCTGCTTTGGCGGCCTGGGGTTCTTGGGTTCGGATCCTGGGCGTGGACCTATGCATCCCTCGTCAAGCCATGCTGTGGCAGGTGTCCCACATATAAAGGAGAGGAAGATGGGCATGGATGTTAGCCCAGGGCCAATCTTCCTCAGCAAAAAGAGGACAATTGGCCACAGATGTTAGCTCAGGGCTAATCTTCCTCACCAAAAGAATAAATAAATAAAAATTAACTCAAAATGGATCAAGCCCTAAATGTGAAGGATAAAAGTATAAAACTCTTACAAGAAAATATAGAGCAAAAGCTTCATTACATTGGATTTGGCAATGATTTCTTGGATAGGCTACCAAAGACACAGGCAATAAAGAAACAACAGACAAACGGGACTTTTTGAAATTTAAAAAATTTTTACATCCAAAGACACTATCAACAGAGTAAAAAGGCATCCCATAGAATGAGAGAAAACATTCACAAGTGGTATATCTGATAAGGCAGTAATATTCTCAATAGAGAATAACCAAAACTCAACACCACCAAAAAAACAACCAGTTAAAAAATGGGCAAAGGACTTGTATAGACATTTCTCCAAAAAAGATAAGCAGGTGGCCACTAAGCACATGAAAAGACGCTCAACATTACTAAACATTAGGGAAAAGCAAACCAAAACTACAATGAGATACCACCTTACACATGTTAGAATGGCTACTATGAAAAAAACAGAAAATAACAAATGTCAGCAAGTGTGGGGAGAAATTAGAACCCTTGTACACAGCTGGTGGGAATGTAAAATGGTAAAACTGCTGTGATGGTGGTTCCTCAAAAAATTAAAAATAGAATTACCATACGATCCAGCAATTCCACTTCTGGGTATATACTCAAAACAACTGAAAGCAGGATCTCTAAGAGATGTTTGTATACCCATGTTCATGGCAGCATTATTCACAATAGCTAAAACGTGGAAGTAACCTCGTATCCATCAATGGATGAATGGATATGCAAAATGTGGTACATATACAATGGAATATTACTTAGCTTTAAAAAGGAAGGAAATTCTGACACAGGCTATAACATGGATGAACCTTGAGGACATTATGCTATGTGAAATAAGCCAGTCTACAAAACAACAAATACTGCATTATTTCACTTATTTTAAGTACTTAAAGCAGTCAAAATCAGAGACAGAAAGTAGAATAGTAGTTGCCAGCGGCTGGGAGAAAGGGGAGAATGAAGAGTTATTGTTTAATGGGTGTAGAGTTTCAGTTTTACAAGATGAAGAATTAGATGGTAGGTCAACGTTATGAATGTATTTAATACTACTGAACTGTACATGTAAAAATGGTTAAGATGGGGGGCCGGCCCAGTGGCACAAGCAGTCAAGTGCACACGCACCGCTGCAGCGGCCCGGGGTTTGCCAGTTCGGATCCCGGGCGCGCACTGATGCACTGCTTGTTGAGCCATGCTGTGGTGGCATCCCATATAAAGTGGAGGAAGATGGGCACGGATGTTAGCTCAGGGCCAATCTTCCTCAGCAAAAAGAGGAGGATCAGCCTCAGATGTTAGCTCAGGGCTGATCCTCCACACACACACACACACAAAAATGGTTAAGATCGTAAATTTTATGCTATGTGTATTTTACCACATTAAAAGAAACTGGGAAAAAACTGGGGAAAAGGAAGGAAAAAAAAAATAAAGCATTTAACCTGCTTGTCTCAACTGTACTTCAGGTGACTAAAGAAATAATGACAGAAGTTCCTTGTTTTTTTTTAATAGAAAATTCCAGCTAATAATGTACTAGAGGACTGAGAGATTTAGGGTGCCACGATTCTGTAACTCCTATTGAAATAATGGATCTTACAATGATCATTAATAGCTGCTAAAACCATTAGGAGAGCATTATAATGAATGGTCCATACTGAGGAAAATTGGAGCTACTGATCAATCTTAACATCACAAAAGAAGGAGAACCTACATCATGTGTCTCCCAATCTGCTCAAACAAACAGCAACACCTAAGAAGTATCTCTGACCAAAACAAGAGTCTGATTCTGATCAAAGCTCCAAATCTAACTACTGGTTTAGAGGAAATACAGGGAGACAGAGTTACATGTTAACACCATGGGGATGGACCAGCAAAATCCAGACTTTGAGAAATTCTACAGCACTGATAATGTTTTTTCTATGTATGTACCTTGTTGAGCTCCTAATTTTATAAAATCATTGGGATATTTTGAATAGTGAATAAATGTTTGATGATATTAAGGAATCATAGTTAAATTTTTTTAGGTTTGAAAATGATCTTGTGATTATTAAAAATAAAAAAGACCTTATCATTTAGAGATATAGATTGAAATATTTACAAATGAAATGATACTATGTTTGGGATTTCCTTGGAAATTATCTGGAGTGGGAGGGGCTTGCGGGTGGCTGTACAGTTGAAACAAGATTGGTCATGTATTGACAATTGTTGAAGCTAGGTCATGATTAAATGTGCGTATATCATACTATTCTGTCTCCTTTCCTATGTTTAAAGTTTTTCATGATAAAAGTTTTTAAAAGCCTTGAAATTTTTTAATACATAAGCTAAATATTTTTCTTTTAATTAAGTTTATAGCATTTATTAGTCAATAACTTTTAAATGGAAAGCAAAAGAAACATCAGGCTACACGTCTAAATTACTGAAAATTCACAAGTGGAGAATCCAAATTTTGATGTGGTTAACAAACAACAAAAACCACAACTAAAGACTTATTTTTTTATATCCAGTATTTTTTACATGTCTCCAATATCAGTGACTTCCTTATAACCTTTTGGTTTTAACATTCAATTCAATAGCAAATGATTACTAAGAAAATAGTAAATAAAATCTCATAATGCTTTGGCAGTTCAAAGGAAATATTTTACATTTATGTGCAACTCACCTGCTGTAAAATCTTCAGTCAGATCAATAAAGGCATGAGAATGTGGAGTTCGCATTTTGTTTTTAGTAGTCAATGCAGGATGCCATGATAAATTCCTAAAAAAACATAAATAAATAACGTTCTTAAGGCAAACACCAAAATAAGCGTTGTTCTAAAACAGAAAAATCTCTGCAAGGTATTTTTAAAATTTATTTATTTTTATTGAGATATTTCACATACTGTAAAATTCACTCTTTTACAGTGTACAATTTAGTTGGTTTTTAGTATGTTCACAGTGTGTAATCATCACCATCATCTAATTCCAAAACACTTTCATCACCTCAAAACGAAACTCCATAACCATTAGTCACTTCTCACTTTCCTTTTCCTCCAGCCCCTGGCAACCACTAATTTGCTTTCTGTCCCTATGGATTTCCCTATTCTGGACATTTCATATAAATAGAATAACATAATATGTAGCATTTTGTGTCTGGTTTCCTTCACTTAGAAGAACATTTTCAGGTTCATCCATGTTGTAGTATGTGTCAGTACTTCAGTCCTTTTAATGGCCAAATAATATTCATCGTATGGCTATACTTTTTGTTTAACTGTTCATCTGTCAATGGACATTTGGCTTATTTCCACTCTTGGCTATTATAAATAATGCTGCTATGAATATTCATGTACATGTTTTCTGTGGACATATGTTTTCAATTCTTTTGGGTAGACACGTAGGAGCGGAATTGCTGGGTCACATGGTAACTGTATGTTTAACTGTCTCAGGAACTGTCAAACTGTTTTCCAAAGTGGCTTCACCATCTTACTTTCTCACTAGCAATGTAGGAGTGTTCCAATATCTCTATTTCTTTGTCAACACTTATTACTGTCTGTTTTATTATAGCTATCAGAGGGTATGATATAATATCTTGTGGTTTTGATTTGTATTTTCCTGATGGCTAATGATGTTGAGTATGTTTTCATGTGCTTATTGGCCATTTATATATCTTCTTTGGAGAAATGTCTATTCAAATCCTTTGCCTATTTTTAAATTGGGTTATTTACTGCTTTATTTTTGAGTTGTAAGAGTTCTTTATATAGATTGGATACTACATCTTTATCTGATATGTGATTTGGCAATATTTTCTCCTATTCTGTACATTGTCTTTTCACATTCTTGACAGTGTCCTGTGATGTGAATCCAATTCATCTATTTCTTCTTTTGCTGCTTATTCTTTTGGTGTCATATCTAAGAATCCATTTCCAAATCCAAGGTCATGAAGATTTACCCTTATGCTTCCTTCTAAGAGCTTTATAGTTTTAGCTCTTATATTTATGTCTTTGATTCTTTTTTTTGGTGAGGAAGACCAGCCCTGAGCTAACATCCAATGACAATCCTCCTCTTTTTGCTGAGGAAGATTGGCCCTGGACTAACACCTGTGCCCATCTTCCTCTACTTTATATGGGACGCTGCCACAGCATGGCTTGACAAGTGGTGCGTCAGTGTGCACCCGGGATCCGAACCCGCAAGCCCCGGGCCACCGAAGTGGAGCGCGCGCACTTAACCACTGCGCCACAAGGCTGGCCCCCAATTCTTTTTTTTTAAGTATAATAAAAAATGATTTAATACTATCATGGATTTTTTTTCAAGTCTGTGGAAAATAGCAATGATTATCTTCTATGAATACCAATTCCAAAGTTTGGAGCCATGCAATGGAATGAATTTAGACCCCTATTTGCACCTTATACCAAAAATTAACTCAAAACAGATCAAAGAGCTAAAACTATAAAACCCTTGGAAGAAAAAATAGGGGTAAATCTTCATGACCTTGGAATGCAAATCTTATCTCTGATAAGGGTCTAGTATCCAGACTATATAAAGAATGTTTACATCTCAACAACCAAAAGACAAACAACCTAGTTAAAAAAAGGCCAAAGACTAGACATACAGAAATGGTTACCAAGCACATCAAAGGATGTTCAACATCATTAGTCATTAAGGAATGTAAATCAAAACCACAATGAGAAATCACTTCACAATCACAAGAATGACAATAATTAAAAGCCAGAAAACAATAAGCGTTGGAGAGGATGTGAAAAAACAGGAACTCTCATACATTTTGCTGTTGGGAATACAAAATGGTGCATCAGTTGTGGAAAACAGTTTGGCAGTTCTTCAAAAAGCTAAACATAGAATTACCATATGACCCTACATTTCTATACCTAGGTATATAACTAAAATAATTGAAAACAGGTATTCAAACAAATACTTGTACATGAACGCTCTTAGCAGCACTCTTCACAATAGCCAAAAATGTGGAAATGATGCAAATATCCACCCACCAATGGATGAATGGATAAATGTCATATATCCATACAATGGAAATATTATTCTGCTATAAAAAGGACTGAGGTACTGACACATGGTACAATACGGATAAATCTTTAAAACATTATGCTACGTGAAAGAAGCCGGACAAAAATGTCACATCCTGTATGATTCCATTTATATGAAATATCCATAACAGACAAATCCATAGAGACAGAAAGCAGATTATTTGTTACCAAGGGTGGGGGTAGGAGAAAGAGAGAATGATTTCTTAATTGGTACAGGGTTTCCTTTTGAGTGAGGAAAAACTACTGGAACTAGATGAAAAGCTATTGGAACTAGGTGATGGCTGTACAACATTGTAAATGTACTAAATATCACTGAATTGTATACTTCATACTGGTTGATTTTATGTTATGTGAATTTTACCTCATTAAAAAAACCAACAGTACAAAGTTTTTATAAATCCCTCATCCAGTTTCCCTTAATGTTAATACCTAAGATAACAATAGTACAATTATCAAAACCAAGACGGTCACACTGGTTGACTATTACGAACTATAGAAGGAAGAGCAAGTTTAAATAAAATCATTCCCCTACAATTCCTCATTAGTAGAGAACACTCGAGTGTCAAAGGCATTCCCATTTATCAAGGCCCTACTCAAATCAGCTTCCTCCAAAAGGCCTTTGCTCTTCTCTGTTTTCCTATTAACACTTTTCTGTACTAAGAGCACTTTGGTTTGCATTAAAGTTACTTGAGGAACTATCTCTTTCAGGGCATAAGCTCCTCCAGACCCCCTGACTCATAGATATTTGTATCTACAATGTTGAACCAGGACCTGGCTCCCAAATACTGGCTGAAGTGAATCACAGTCCTGTCAGCAAATACCGGCTGGACTGAGTCATAGTCTCAAGTAGAATGTCCTATTCTTCTCTAATTCTAGTTAGAATTTACTATTTTTTTCATAGTACTATGTCCCAGTCGAATATGGAAGCACAGAAACGTCATCTCTTGAAGGGCAATTTAAGGCTAATTAAGTCCAATTTAATTGTGAACACAGTATCCAATTGACTGGATAGCAAAGTTTATTTGTGAATTTGGTTTTGATGTGTTTGCAAAGTGGAGAGAAACAATTGACTAATTTGTTCTTGGCAGGTGGAATCTGAGAAAAAGATTAAGCGTTCATCAGGAGAAAATTTTCCCTACACAAAGGGTCCATGTTCTACAAACAGTAACTTCTTCCCAATAACCTATTTCCACACTCTTTTTAGCACACACTGGGCCTCATCTGTAACCTAAACAAGATAGTAAAAACAAAACCAAGCAGTGTTCATACAACCTGATTTTATTATTTTAACCAAAACCTCCATAATTTTAGGTTATGGTAATAATGAAACACCAAAAGAAATTGAGAAATTGTATTTACCATTTGTTATAAAGTAATTCAGTGCCAAGCATTCACGTCATGTTCTTCTTTCATACTACACAAGGTTAGAAATGCTGAAAATAACTGCAGTTGAGTCAAATTTCATCATAGCTGGTTCACTTCTTTTTAAGATAGGTCATTTATTCACCAATTCTTTAAATTCTAAGCATTACAGTATTTTTAATTAATAACAAAATAATCAGACTCAGGCTGGAGATTCTATGGCAAGTTTAATGCAAAGTCATTTCAGAAGAGTTTCCTAATGTTCCCAATAAATTTGTAATTACAGGTCAAAAGTGAGTGAAAAAACACAAGCTTTTGCAGAGTTCAGCTCAACGAAGTTAATCATGTGGCTGTCTTTAATTACTACTTGAGTAGTTATTGATCTCATTCCCTATAGAAATTTTTTAGTTTTGAAATAAGTTATAGCTGGAATTTTGGAAAATCTCAATTAACTTGTGACATTTTTATCCTAGGAGCCATTTAACAAAATGCACATTTCAAGTGAAGAATCTAGAACAGTGATAAAGCAGAAGTCATAAAGTGGCAGACTACGGGCCAAATTCAGCCTAATGATGTGTTTTCCTTGATACATTTCCTTGATACCCATACTTGTTTTGAAAATTCTGAATTCACTGGTAAAACCTAAATAAAAAAATCAGATTTCACATGAAAATCTGGATTTCCAGCTTCTCTTGAAATATCAGAAGGTCTGGGAACCAACTGGCTCTTTTCAGACAGAGCTAGTGCCTATAAGCAGCTGAAGTCCCAATCTTCCCAAACCGCTTCACTTACTTTGGTTTCCTAATGGGCCCCTTTATACATCTGAGGTTGCAACTCCTGACAGAATATTAATTGTAATCTTGCTTTTTTGAACATTTCAAATCAATATTCAAGTTTTTCACAATATTTTAAGTTTTCTACTTGCTATCTGTACTCTGCTATTTTATATTAACATCTCTTAAAAGACAGCTGATCCTTATAGTTTATTTTATATACAGTGTCTAGTTACCATTTTGATGCTTACCAAAGGTAGGGGAAAAGGTGAAATAGCTGTGGTTTCTTTTTGTGGTGCATTTTAAGATGACTGAAACTGAATATATATACAGTTGTCTATCAGGATTAAATTGTTTAAAAATTTATATTGAAAATAAAATTCATTTCTCCTTCTACCTTTAATGTTCCTCTTTGTGCACATCATAGTTTTTCAATAATAATAAGCAAATACCATATTTCTCAAGCAACTATACTCATATAAACAATAACCTTCTCATATATGTGCTCAACTCCATCTGAAGGCCAAGGTCACAAATACAAACTGCTCTAGATTACAAAGGAAGAAGCAGCAGAGATGAAAAAGTGG